TGAGTTTACTGTTACTCCACTTTATGACGGCTGATTAAATATAACTCAGCTGTAAAAACATCTCACAACTCGGCCGGTCGACGATCAATTAACCAGCCGCGATAGTTAACTAAGCCGTATGGTAACTAGAACTCAGTCGGATTTTCCAGGAACCAGCCTAAGGATGTATAAGTCAGTCGTAATATCTGACCGTAACTCAACCGTTATCACATAAACCAGCCTGATTTTTTTAAGTCAGCCGTAACGATCGACTGAGTTATGTTCATAACTCAGCTTATTTCTCATAAGTCAGCTAGGTTAGTTAAGTCAGCCGCTACGCACCTATATCTCGGTCGTAACGTAGTTCGTATCCTATTGCGGCTGAGTTTTATGCCGCATTCTTACGTGGACCCGAACTTTTTGCTTATGTGGCATAAAAAAGTAATGGCATTCTTGTAAATATGTTTTTTCTCACAACGTGAAAAAAGGGCACGCTGGGTATTAAAAAAAATGTAGTAATAAAAAAAAGTTTTGTATGGTTGTAATAATAATTAATAAAATTCATACTAATTGAGTTAACTTCCCAAAAAAAAAAACCAAAATATACTATTAGATGACATTATTAATGTATTTGAGTATTCTTAGTTAAACTAATTTTGGTCTAGACAACCTGGACATCTCATTAATAGAAATTTTACAAGCTTATTAAATAACTCAAAACATTATATACATCAGAAAAGTGAAGTCTAGCAATTATTTGCCACTTGATTAGCAATACGATGAACATACATGAACTTAAGAGGTTTTCGCATTGGCATGTACTTGATGATTGTTCCCAAGATATCTTTACATCGAAAGACGCTAGATAGTTTTGAAGTAGTGGCAAAGTTTTGGTCTCTTAATCGAAAGGATGGTAGGCAGCTAGCAAATGGTCCTGATCAACTGCTTGAGAAGCTGATCGCATTGACAAAGGTGGTTCTTGGAAGCTTCGAGAGAGAGAGTTCTCTTAGATTGTTTTAATAGCCAAGTATAAATGGTCGTGTATAGTATTATTAATCATGTATTCATGGTGTCCGTGTCCTACTAAAGAAAATAAAATTGTAGATCATATTACGTGTGCATATATCTTCCGCAACCTTTTCTTATTAGACAGACGTGAAAACTGGCCATAATAACCGGAAAATACAATTAACAGGTTTTTTTTTATAATTAACATTTTTTTGTCATGATATAATTAACAATTCTAAATAAGAAAAAAAACTAGAAGAGACAAAGAAGTAACAGATATGAAGGCAACGATAACGATCGAACTATATTTATTTATAAATACAAGAAAAGAGGAGACAGAACCCAAAATTCAGACCCACTCGTCTCTCTCTCACACTCACTCAAATGGAGACAACACCTTCGTCCCCACCTTCCTCGCCGGAGATTCTCAATCTCGACTCTCTCAGAGCTCTCAAAATCCTCGGACAAGGCGCCACTGGAACTGTCTTCCTCGCACACGACGTTGTTTCAGTCTCTTCCTCCTCTTCTCCCTTCGCCGTCAAACTTGTCCACAAATCCTCAGCCTCCTCTCTCCGTCGCGCACGGTGGGAAATTGAGGTCCTCCGTCGTCTCTCTGTTGAAACGAATCAAAACCCTTTCCTCCCTCGTCTCTTATCTTCCCACGAGTCACCGGAAATTTTCGCCTGGGCTGTCCCGTATTGCTCCGGCGGCGATCTCAACGTCCTCCTTCGCCGTCAAAACGACGGCGTTTTCAGCTCCGCAGTTATTAGATTCTACGTGGCAGAGATCGTCTGTGCGCTTGAGCATCTCCACTCCATGGGTATCGCTTACAGAGACTTGAAACCTGAGAATATACTGATACAGCAATCCGGTCACGTTACATTAACAGACTTCGACCTTTCCCGGAGCCTCAAAAAACCCACCCGACCCGAATTATATCAACCCGACCCGGAATTATGCGCGGGTCGTAAAAAAAGTCGGAGCTTTTCTCGCTGGGTCTCGTCAGAGAGCAAGAAAACAAGATCCGCTCGGGTCAACCCGATTACCCGCCGGAAAACCAGTTTTTCCTCCGGCGAACGTTCCAATTCCTTCGTCGGAACTGATGAGTACCTTTCGCCGGAGGTAATTCGCGGCGACGGTCACGACTTCGCCGTCGATTGGTGGGCGCTCGGAGTTCTCGCCTACGAGATGATGTACGGAGAGACGCCGTTCAAAGGGAAGAGCAAGAAGGAGACTTTTCGAAACGTGCTGGTCAAGGAACCTGAGTTCGCCGGAAAACCTAATGACCTAACGGATCTTATCCGGCTGTTGCTTGTGAAAGATCCGAGTAGGCGGTTAGGTAGCCGCCGCGGCGCAGCGGAGATAAAGGAGCATCCTTTTTTCGCGGGAGTGAGGTGGGAGTTGTTAACGGAAGTTTTGCGACCTCCGTTTATTCCGTTAAGAGATGACGGGGAATTAACGGTTGGTGGTGGGTTTGATATAAGGGAACATTTGGAGAAACTGAGATGGACACCGTCATCTGCTCCTCCGTCACCGTTACAATCTCCACCGCACGTGTGTCGTAACAGCGATTCGTTCATTGATTTTTGATCCACGTGTGTGGAATTAACACGTACAAAGTTGTAGATAACATTTTTCTTCTTCTGTGTTGTAAATTTTATTTTTCTGATTTTCATTTGTATGAAAATCATTGTAAAATTATTTAGAAGACTTCGCTTCACAATCCGAAGAAAAACTAGCAAACTTTAAATAAAAAGAAATATTGTTTTCAAAAGGATGAAATAAGGAATCACTAGTTTAGAATGTCTTTGGTGGAAATAGAAAAATAAGTAAAGATAAATGAGAATGTGTAATCATAATTACACAGCCTAATTCCTTCCGTAAAGCATGTTACCTGATAATTACACTTCACTACTTCAGAACCCACATTTTTTATAATAATATTCGTTTTTTACGTTCACATACGTTGATAGCACTCAAAACCAATTTTCATAGTTACGTAAAACACGAAAGAGATCTAGGATGTGGAACGGCTACTTTACTTTTTAATCACTATAGTTACTCAACTCTAATACAGTTTATATTTCTTCTGCTAGCTTTATTAGTTAATCGTATCATCGTCAACGTTCTAGTGAATCGGTAAGTGGTTATGCTTTAGCGATTAGAGAGATATATAAGACACCGAAGTTGAGATTTAAGAAATATAGCAAGTAATTAAGAAATTATCAACCACTCTTTAGACATGTTTCTAATATAGTGTATTAGACTATTATGATTAATTTATTGATATGTAATGCTTCACATGACAAAGATATAGTCACTGGAGTATAAAATATCTCGTCAAGATCCCCAAACACTTTTATTATGAACATTGACAAGAACATATCTAAGGAGAATATTTCATTGAATTCCGGATTCATTTATAAGACGGAATCTGAATTCATTATACACAGTATCAATTCACAATATTTTTTCAAACGTGTAGCGGTGTAGCGGTACTGTACTAAAAAAAAAAAATATTGTCAAACGTGTAGCGGTGTGCTCAAACGTGGATTCTAAGATTTGAATACATAGGACAGGTACTTATTTTTCTCAGTGCTTATGGTTAACATGTTCGTCTTCAGAAATTAAAGTTATTAAGATATCAATCATGCATATATGACTAGCACGGATGAAATGAGTTAAGAGCAACCACATCAATGAACCCCCTTTTGGGGTTCATAAAATTTTTTTATTATTTTTTAGTGGGACCATGAATAGTGATAAACCCGGAAGAAATGTGATCTTCCATCAATGAACCCGAAGTTGGAGTTCATAGGAATAAAATAATATATTTTCTTGAAAAATAAAATAATTTTTAATTTTTTTGAAAAGTTAGTATTCAATATAATGAGAATCTTCGAATAAAATATATTTTTTTAAAAAAAATTTATTCAATAAATTGAGAATTCATGAATATAGAAAATATTTTGTAATATTTTTTTAAAAAGTTATTATTCAATACATTGAGAATTCATAAACTTACAAAATATTTAAAAATATTTTAAAAAAAAATTTATTCAATACACTGAGAATTCATGAACATACAAAGATTATTCAATCTATATTGCCAAACTTTTGCCATACTTACATATCAGAATAGAATATTTCTAAATAAGCTCTGCCAATAAGGATGTTACTATTTTTGTTGCACAAACTCATATCATTGAAATGGTAAAACAAAACACACACGAAGGTTTTATATAAAGTTAGTAAACAAAGCATGTCTCAAAGTGAGCAAATATACACAAATGCATCAGTGTTCGCAGATAATAACTGTAGTATTTCGATAAGGATCTCGTCCCAAGTGGCAGATAGTCCAAGCATGGTTCATCCTCTGGCCTTGAGCTCTGCAAGCCTCCTGGACAAGTCATCCTCATCAACTTTCTCCCCTGTCGCAGTAGGAATGGCATGACCAGCAGCCTGAGGTAGTCCAACAGAGACTTCAAGACCGTAATCATCTGCTACCTGCTGCATCAGGTTGTTGATGTCGCCTTCTGGAGTAGACAATGATGTTGAACCAGCCATGGCGTTCTCCATGAACTCAGCTTGTACCTCCATGTTAACAAACTGCTGTTCAAATGAATCCATCGTCTCTGACATCTTCTGTAGATTACCTGGTCAGAAACACAATGAACATATAAGAACCCAAAGTTGCATACAATTCAATGAATACTTCATGCTAGCTTCCTCTTATGAAAGAAGTATGCAACTGAGACTAAAGGATGCACCTTTCTTATGTGTATTCATAAAAACAAAACCTATCTCTCTACCCTTTAAGAATGCACCTTTCCCTTTCAAATCCTGCTCACAAGAAGCATGTGATGCTCCCTTTGTTCATTAACAATTTGCATAACTTTAGATATGAACTTACCCGGCGAAACTGGAGAGGGGCAGTGTTTAACCAATCAAGTTTAGATGGGAATTCTGGAACAGTTGTAGCTGTTTGCCTAGACATCAAAATAAGAAAAAAACAGAAGATCATCCACATATGTTTTTTTCAGCTTTTAATACAAAAGACCAAACCTTGGTTTTGTGTAAAAGAAGGGCTTTTTGTTCCAACCAATGCGTTCCACAAAGCTTGTGGAGAAGCATATTGCATTGCCTATACTTAAATCACCAACTCCGTAAGATTAAAAAATAGCTTTGAAAACTAAATAGTCTTCAGTGTTAACCTTCCATAGTAGACACAAGAAAGAGCAATTCCAGAAATCCCATACCTCAATATATCTTGACGAGAACCCTGAAACTTGTTAGAACATTGCATCTGCAATCTCAACTAATCCCTAATCAATGATTAGCACACATCAACAAGCACAATCCCCTAATGACGATATATAGATATATATACCTGTGGGGAAGATTCAAGGGATTTAACTATGTTAGTCATAGATTTTGTGATGGTGGCCATCTTAGCCTGAGTATCTAACCGAGCAACAACAGCGTCGAGACGAGAAGCAAGACGGAGATGAATAGCGTTCTAGGCGTAGATCCGAGCACCATCCATGTTCCCTTTCTCAATCGCCTTCTTACCCTTGAGCTTCTCTCTCCTCCTCATCGTGCTTTCCTCCTCAAACGAGAAGCCATCCAACGCTTGACACGTGGCATGAACCCCTCTCATACGGGTTCAGCCGAGAGAGTCGGTTCACCGATTAAAGCCCATTTTTCATTTATTTTTTTTATAAAAAACCCATGAACCCTAGCCCATGAACCTCTCATCAACCTTTGATGTACATGCTCTAAGGAGTGGTTCAAGATCTTCTCTGTAATGGATGCAAGAAGCTACAATTTCTATACATATGATAAAATATTGTATATACAACTATGTTATGTATGTGCAGGAAAAGTAAAGTCATGGGTAAAACAAAGCCTATCCATTTTAAGACGACGCGTACAACTATATAAGCTAAGAACTTTCATTTCGATGTTAGGCCAAAAGTTGTATAGAAAATTACTAGCTACGTTGAAAAATATCATTTTAAAATTAAGCCACGTTAAAAATATCACATGCATTGCATTATATATACTCCCTGTCCACCATGAGATTTTTTGGCGAAAAACACCACATATTTAATACAAACCTTTTTTTTTGTTAAAACATATTTAATACAAACGTTACTTAAATAATTAGTCAGAATAAGTAATTTAACCAATCATATAAAATTATAGACATTAAGAGTCAAAAGTATCAAATAATATTAAAGATTTTCGTAGAAAGTTTTATATCATCTTATAGAATGAAATGGTTAGGTTGAACAAAAAAAAAGAAAGAAATGGTTACAAACTTATGTAACATAGAAATATATATATATATATATATATATATATATATATATATATATATATATATGCTACAGTTTATTAGGAAAAGATCTATAATAAATAGTATGGTAACCAAAGATAGTCTTTTAAAAATTACGTAACTAAATACAATTCCAGAAATAGAAAAAAAATCACTTCCTTTCTCATTTTAATTTTACAGAATTTTAGTTTTATTTTTTTTTTATCTTCGTTAGGTTTTCCCGTTAAAATTTTCACTGGAAGATAGTGAGCAAAGTGGATTTTGAGGAGCACTGAAAAGGACAAAAAGAAGGTAAAGTAGAAAACGAAAGGGGACAAAGCTTATAATTTTTTGTTGCCATTTATTAAAAATGACAAACGATATTTTATTTTACTGAAATCCACCAAAATCATTAAATGTTAAAATATTTTATTTCCATAAATTAGAAATGAAGAGAAAATCAAAATAAGTAAAAAGACAAAATAATTTCAATACAATGAAGGTGACCACACGTGTTGCGTTTGAGCAACCTAATTGTTAAGGCTAAGTTTTAACGTAAGTCTTTTTTGGAACACCATCATAAATTAAAGTTCTGGAATGGAGTAAATAATATTATCAAAATAAAGAAGAGACTTTTTTTTCTTGTTCAACATCAAAATAAAGAAACAAGAAGCAAAACCAACCAGCAATTTCAAATTCGCTATGTTAATAAAGAAGTGAGTTGTGAGTTACTCAAACGAATAATGAAGTCGTTTAACTTATAACAGCTAAATCCATCAAAGTAAATGGAAACATAACCATGATTCTATAAAAGCAAAATAAAAAGATAGAAGATTAGGACGCTATACTCTCTGCACACACTTGTCTAATAATTTACTCTATTTTTATTTGTTTTCTTATCTTAATTTTTGTAAAAAGACTTCGTAATCATCAATACTAGAAAGTCATTTTACAAGAATTCACAATAAACGTGGGTTCACAACTAATGTTAACCATGTTGGCCGACTGGCGGTTGGCGGATTAAACGTTAAGGGAACAAATGTTTAGCCTCCAGCTGGTGGTGGAATAAACGTGAATGGTGCCATGTTAATTCTCCGGATGATGGCATTAAGGTGTAATATGAATCTAAGATCCCAAAATTCTCTTACGATCCATCTTTGAAAATGGCTTACGATAATGTTCTTTTTGATATGATCCTTGGACGGCAAACCAGCTGGTCTTACCAAAATGGCGGTCTTCGCGGACACGTTACTGCATACGGCAGAGAACTTCTACGCCCATTAATTTTACCTGTGAATAAATGCATGGTGAAGCTTGGTAAGGCACTTAACTACAAAGGATCAACTATCAAGCATTCACTATGTAGATCTCAATTATGTGTTGAATGGAAGAGGTTTCTTTACCGGGAAACCGGAAGCGAATCAATCTAGATTTAAAGTACTAGTACCATATAAGATAGAGCCTTGAAATTTCACAACTCGTTAAAGACTATCCTAGGATTGGATATGGTAACAGTTGCATATATCTTTTCATTCGAAATTTGATAGAGAATTTTTTTCGAATTGTGTTCCTTTGATATTGCTGTAGGATGATAACAACTAGGGAGTAGTGAACAAAGTGATGGCACTGAGAAAGATAAAAGAAGGTAATCTCATTCTCACGTGTTTTGTTCGGTTAACACTAGCCCAAGCTCATTCCAAATGAGCCCATAGCAGGAAGAATTAGAGACTTTGATTACAGTACAATTTTGTTCTTCATCCTCGTTTTAATCAAAAAAAAAATTGCTTTGGTCACGTAACGTAACTGTCAATAGTTAACTTTCAGGTGCTATTTTCATGTTATAAGAAATAATGAGCTCACATTAGTTGACTTGGTAACTTACTCTTAAAACATGAGAATGAAATAGGCTCAAACTTACTTCTACTAGTGATGTTGTCTGTTGAATCTCTCATCAATAACTTAAACTTGCGTACCACCACCACCACCACGTACACAATACAAAATTTATGTTTTGACAGTGTCAAAAAATTGGATCATCCACAGGTCTAGTTATATGGGCTATAATGGGCCCAATACAGTTTATAATTAAATATTATAATCAATTTAGAGACAATAAGAAATGAATGCAAGTGAGTAGACCCATGTAGTGAAGCAGCGACAGGTCCTGAGGTCACACTCACCGCAAAATGCTTACAGAGTTTCACATGCAATGCTTCTGCCCATTTATTTTTCTTTATTGCACCCTTTATTATCATTACCCCACACCTCACCACTTTCTTTTAATGTTTTCATTTAATTCATTCGTTCCTATTCTTCATGTGAGTTGGATTTTCCCGCATTAAATTTTTCTTTGATGTATCCCCAAATGTATATATTTACATTTTTCCCTAGAATAAATATTAGTATAAAACAAACTCAAGTGAATACTACATTCTATGGTATGTATTATGCATACTTATAGTATATAATATGTTAGTGAATAAGTTTCCATGAATCTAATAAATATACAACCGTATCCGTCTGGTATGTCGATTGGATGATACTATATTTAGTTACCTCTCTAATGCTATTTTCTCTATCTATCTTTTGTAATCAATCTAATTGAAATACTATATAAGCTTTGTAGCCAGATCAGAAATGAAATGTACTCTTACCGAAACGAAAAAACTGAAATGTACAGTGGAAATGGGAAACTCCTTTAAAATATATTTTTTGTATGATAAAAAACATATATTTTTTTGTAATATGTGGGTACAACTTATAAAAATCAATTAAGTAGAGCCGGTCGTGATAATAATTACTTATAAAGTACCATACGTAGCACACATTTATGTTTTTTTTTTTTGCCAATGCATAATCATAAAATATAATAAGGTCTAATTAAAGAAAATTACATAAAATCAGTTTTTTAAACAAGCTCTCAAAGGTTTGCCGCAAAGACAGTCGTTATACATAAACGACGCCGCTTCAAGGTGACTGAACGGCGACCCCGCCGGAATCCTCCCGCATAGATGGTTATGGCTAAGATCCAAATGACCAATAAACGACGCACCAGAGATCGATCTCGGGATCGGTCCCTTGAGATTGTTATACGACAAATCAAGAACAGTGAAGTAAGACCTTGGTCCGAACCCTTCCGGTATCTTCCCTTGCAACAAGTTCCTGCTCAAATTCAAGTTCATCACCGATGACGTCATCAGAGTTTGTGGTATCTCACCCGAGAATTTGTTTCCGTCGAGGTTAAGCGTCGCGAGAACCGCCATACGGCCTAGAGACGGTGGGATTGTACCGTATAGTTTGTTACCAGAGAGATCCACGTCAGCTAACCGATAAATCTTGGTTAGTGATTCGGGAATTCGACCGGTTATCCGGTTACCGCTTAGTAACGCGCGGCTAAGCATTGTTAACCGGCCGAAGTCTGAAGGGATTAAACCGGTTATTAAGTTGTTACGTAGGTCTAAATGCATTAAGCTAGCGAGGTTGGTTAACGATTTTGGAATCGAACCGGAAATCCGGTTATCCGCAACGTTTAAAACAGCTAACCGGTGTAATCTCCCGATATCGTTCGGAATCCCGCCGGAGATTTGGTTTCCGATGAGGTCGAGCGTACGGAGGAAAGGGAGACGTGTGATGCAGGTGGGAATCTCGCCGGAGATACCTTTCCAGTCGGCGATGGTGATGGCGGAGAGACGAGTGAGGTCGCAGATTGCCGGAGAGATGTGTCCGGTCATGTAACCGGTTCGGTGAGCTCGTTCGAAGATGGGGTCTTCTGACTCGCCGCGGAGGTTGATGTCGGCGACTCGGTGAGTGAGCGAGTCGCAGCTAACGCCGTACCAGTTCTTGCAGCAGTCTTGGCCGGTCCATGAGTTGAAAATGCCGAGGTATGGCTCGTGGAGTGCTGCTCGGAAAGATAGGAGTGCACGGCGGTCTGAAGGCGGACAACATGTTGCGATTGAGACAAGGAGGAGAAGGAGTGATACGACGACGTTAAGCTTGAGCTTCATCGTTCGAGATTCTCTTTTGTGACAGTGTTGGGAATTGGGACTTGATGGGTGAGTGTTGAAGATAAACGTTATGGCATATAAATAGCGAATAATAATATATAACGAATTTTAAATAAATATAAACAAAGAAAAAGGACAATACTTGGCAGAAATGCATTAAATATTATTTTCACATAGTTATTAGATTAATAGTTCGATTTGGTTATATCTATATGATTAGACATTTTGGACTCGAAACGATGATAGTGGTGTGTTCGTGTAATCTTCCTTGATCATGAAATTCTACAGTAAATTAGTCAACACAAAATGTAAAATTCATGTGAAATTTAATACTATACACCTAAGAAGTTGCTAGAATTTAATGATACTTGAAAGTTGAAACGAAAAGTAAGATCGAGATACAAATTTTTGTTTAAAACCATTTGGTAACTGAAAATTGTTAGGGCATCATTAACCTCAGTCTTTTAGCCGGGTTTTTAATTCATGATTTAACACTTTTTGATTTTCTTTTTACATTTATCGGTTTTTATATATCTTATTTAATAGATGATTCTTAATTTTTCTTAGTTAAAATTTAAGAAAAATTAAGATCCGTCTTTTAGCTAAAACTAAAACTTTTAATTAAAATATTCGGGTTAATAATGATCGTAGTGATTGGTGATAACTTTTACCATGTGGATTTTTTTAATGAATAACATGAGATTAAATGGTTTGTAACACTAGTGATGTGGACACAAAAATGTTGAAACCACACACATGGATTAGAGTTTGAAGCACATTCATTAGATATCAATAGAAAAGCTTGCAGACAAACTAAGATAGAGACAGGAACTGGAAGTGGGGGAGAGTTTCCATGCAAATAATTGAAGCTGCGATTAGATTTTCCGACGAGACTTGCCGGCTGGATAAGATTCATCTACAATTATATCAAAGGGTCACCATGACGCCACGTTGCCCTGTCCTTGCATTTTAATCGTTTTTTCTTTCATAAGCATTCTTCTAGGCATCTTCATAATTGTAGTTACGTTGAAAAATATGTGACCATGACGCCACGTTGCCATGTCCTTGCATTTTAATCGTTTTTTCTTTCATAAGCATTCTTCTAGGCATCTTCATAATTGTAGTTACTTTGAATAAAATGTCACCATGGAAAGAAAAAAAGAACTTCTACGATACTTTTTCTGTCCGCGCATCTAGTTCAGCACCGACGCTTTTGTATAAAACCGCAGGGTACATGAAACAAAGAGACATAACTGCGATACATTTTTCTTGTTCTTTGCATTCATAAATGATTAATGTGAGACATATTATTACTCCACTAGGAATTATGTAGAGAAGAGTTTAATATTCATGTTTGAATTTGCTGTTTGCTGCCACATCAGTACTAACTTTGACTATATTTACTTGTTGAGTTTATCAAAGTTTGTAGGATAGGTTGTTCCGGGTATTTTACGTGTTAAAAGACTCAAAACATTACAGTTATTGTTTCTGGTTATGTATATTAATCATCCACGAACTCCAAAGTCTTGGTTTGTGATAAAAGTTTTAAAATTTGAGAAGATAATACTAGTATATCTAGCAATGTTCTCTTTCTGAAAGAACAATGTAATAAAATAGTATTGGGATTTAACTTAAAACTAGAAATTAATCGTACATCCGTGCAGATATTTAATTTTATTTAATAAATATCTTTTATATAAAATGTTACTATATATTTTTAACACTTAATATACTAAATAACTATTTAATGAAAAATTACAAGAATTTTTTTTTATAGTTTATATTGACTAATTTTATTTTTTTATATCGTCTTCTATATCATCTACATTTTTATCACATAACTATTATTAAATTTTTATTGAACTATTATTTATCACGAAAATGCATAAGATAATACATTTACAGAATAATATATGATTCACTTATCTATTATATGAATTGACTATTTATAAGATATAATCTTTATTTTTAATAATAATAAAAAATAAAGAAGTCAGTGTATATTATTATTTCATCTGTTCAAATTTTTTAGGTAAGATCTTTTATTAATTTGAAACTTAGCAGTTACGTATATTTAAAAGATTTTAAATATATAGATTTTCAATTATGATAAATTATTTAAGTTTAAGATTTACTATAAATTTATTGTTACATTCGATTTAGGAAATATTTAATTAAATTATAAAAACAAGAGATGATTAAAGATAGGTTTAATTATTACTTCAGTAACATTAAGGTGTAAATTAATTGTAATTTCAAGAGTTAGTTTATAAATGTACTTTAGTTTTAATAATATAAATTTTTGAAATTTTAATTTACTATCATTAAATAATAGAAAAATTATATATGACAGTTTTGTTTCATAACTTTTATTTTTTTACAATGGAGATAACAATAAAATAGTTTATTATATATCAATTATAAACTCCAGTCTTATAAAAAGTACAATAAATTCATCTCTTATATCATTTCCAACCTACTCTATAATTTATTACAATTAAACTAAATCTAAGAGACGACAAAAAAAAAAAACCCTAAAAACATCTCTAGTCCACTCAGTTTTTCCACTCTGAGATGGAACAAAATGGAATATGGAATAAAACTATTTCAGTTCTATCACATTTTCACTCTATAAAAGATGAATTTGCTCCATAAATATATTAATTTATTTTTATTTGTTCATTGTTCCATTATTAAGTGAAAAATGGTGAGTAGACCAAAACATTTTTATCCCTTATTCTATTTGAAAATAGAAAATTGAGTTTTACACTAAAGATGTTATAGTCATATTCTATTTCTAACTTCATAATAGAGTAAACATGGTTTTGGAGTATTTTTTTTAAATTTTTTGTTCATTACTCTATTTTTCAATTGATAAATAGAATACAGTTAGAGCAAATTCAACTCCATTATGATATTATTCCACTTTAAAAGAAAAATGGAGTTTTAACCTCCAAAAACTTAACTTTTAAACCCATACAAAACAAAGTGATATGTTTCTTTAACTTTTAAACACATAAAACTTAACTTTTAAACACATAAAACTTAACTTTTAACTTTTCTTTTAAACGTGTTTCAAAAAAGGAAAAACTTAACTTTTAAACCCTAAAACTTAACTGAACTTTTATTTTTCAGCACATAAACTATAAACTTCTAACTTATTTAAAACATCCACATAATTTATTCTTCACCCCTTAAATATTAACTAATGAAAAGATGTCAGGTGTCATATCTTGTTAATTAAAAAATTAAAAATAATACTGATCGTAGAACAAATTGACAATTCAAGATTCTAAATTCTAAATTATAAATTTTATAACTTTAATTCTAAATACTAATATTTAAATCTTAAGATTATCACTAAATTGTATAGCTCCAACTCTAAATACTAAATCTTAGATTCTATGATTAATCATCGACCCTAGCGTTAATCCTAGATTCTAGGGTTAATCGTATAACTCAAACTCTAAACATTAAATCCTAGATTTTAGAATTAAATCCTAGATTTTAGAATTAATCTTAAATTTCAGAATTTAATGTTAATCTTAAATTTCAGAATTTAATGTTAATCTTAAATCCTAAATTTCAGGTTTATTGTTTACAGGTTGAGTTTTAGGGTTAGTGATAATCTTAAAATTTTTAAGGTTTAGTATTTAAAATTTGAGTTATAAAATTTAGGATTTATCAAATTTATAATATTAATTTTTTTTTTGTTTTTTATAAATTAAATATGAAATGTAACAAATTGTTATTAGTAAGTGTCTAGGGGTAAACCTCAACATGACGAGTTTTCGTGGACAAAAGTGGCAAAAGACGATAACAAAGAAAAAAAATAAAAAAGGTGGCAAAAGACAACTGAACACTAAATTCACTTTTTCCAACTGGGCCTCTGGCCCATTTCTTCCTAAGAACTAGATTCTCATTAAACCTTTTCTAGTTTTCTTCGTTAATGCAACGACAAAACATTAAAATGCACAACAAACTGTCCGTGTTAAGACTTAAAAGCTCACAATCGTCTTTTACAACATAGGCTTAAGACAAAACAAACGATCTTCATGCTCAGTGTGAGAGCAATTGTTTTCTTCTCTACTAACTTTTAGGATCTAACATAATTGGTGTAAAAGAGAGAGTGAACACAGAACCCGAAACAGAGAATAAAAAAATACTCCATTTGCTACGAGTCAGAGGACTCTGTTTCATTGCTCCACCAGAAGCTAACCGAGAAACTCATTGTTAAAGACCTGACATAGTGCCACCATTTGGGAGGGATGTACAGCATTTCTCCTTCCTCTAGGATACAATCCATAAACTCTAGCCCCGCCGCCTTTGGAAACTCGTTCTTGTCAATGTTGTCGAGATCAACCTTCAACAAAAGTTTGAGACCACCCGGTTTGTACACAAGGATCAAGTAGACTCAGCTTCTGTTTAAACAAGGTATCAGATTTGAATATAAGATAAAATAGACTTACCTGGCTAGAGTTGCAAAGCATTGTCTCAGAATAAGGGTAAAGTTCGTCTTGCAATGAGGATGGATAAAGCCTTACATACTTCTTGCCAACAACCTGACGAACAGATGACATCAAACACTTCAATAAGAGGAGGAAAAAATATAATTAAAGAAAATTATCCGAGGCGAAACGATTTGTTTGGTTAGTCAAACTAAGAGATTAGTTTTGTTCAGACATCAGGCTTCAATCCAGCGAGATGATCAGGCTTTTATTATGCAAGAACATCAAAGAAGAAGAAGCTCGTTAAACACTTAGAGAACATATCTATATATATATATATATTGGACAGCTTGACAGCGAGAACAGACAAAAAGCCATGCACATTTATAAGTACAACAGGTCAGAGGCCATAAGATACCTGAGCAAGTATGTTATGATGTGGATCATGGTGTAAAGGAGTAACTGTTCCAGCTGGGCCAAACCAAGCATTAAGAGATTGGAGTTCCCCTCCACCGACAAAACAGTAATCAGGAATACATATATCATCTCTCAGTTCATTTATCTGCCCATCCAGTCATGTTAAAAACAGTAAATCAGTATATGATGATGATGCACAACATCCTGGTACATACATAAACATACATACCTGATCAAACAAAGGATGCTGAGCAAGATAAGTAGGTTCCGTGGATCTATTGGTCCGAATCCGTTCAAGGAACTTGGAAAACGTCACAAGCTCTTGCTTCCAATCTGAACACAAATAGTTTTTCCCCACCTGTATAGCATTTTAAACTTCTACCAGCTTTCAGCTATTCCGACTCAATCACAACTCTTTAATCAACACTCACAAGCTAACTAAAAATATGTTTATAGAAACAGTAAGCGAAGAAAACGATGAGTAAGTCACCTCTACAGGAACGGTACGGTTACCAGCAACAGAAGAGAGATAGTCAAAGTGGTTCCACTTGGTCCTAGCTGGCCAATGAGCCATACAATTGGTTATAACAACAGGTGTACCTGTCTGAAAATAATCACGTAGAAACCCCTCCAAAGATAAATCAGACCTCTTCTCCACTCTTCCACTAGTCAACGACCTTAAAGGTAGAATCTTTAGCACCTACAGTAATCAACAAACCAACACAACAAAACAAAATCAACAAACTCAACACTGTCAGTAACGAAATTGGCACTTCAAAGAATCTATTTTCCGACAGAACATATCAAACTAAACTAGTTTGTCTAAATCGTAACGAACATACCAAGTCTAGTTTCAAAAAACTCAACACTGTCAGTAACAAAACTGACACTTAAGCCTTTCTTCAAAAAAACAAAAAACAAAACTGACACTTAAAAAGTCCAGTTTCCGACAGAACAGACCAAACTAAACTAGTTTGTCTTAATCCTACCAAAAGTCAACAAGATCTGAGCCTTTTTACCTCATTGACATCGACGGGAACTTCAGGGACAAGTTTCTCACCCTGGAAATCTCCAGAAGCTTCCAGACTCTTGGCCTTCTTACGAGCTTCAGAGGAGACCAAGAGAACAGAATCATGAAGGTCTTTCCGGAGAAGCATCCCTCCCATGATAAGTCCCATATCAAGCGCACCGAGAGCTTCCCCAAACTCCCCAGCGGCGAAATGGAACTTTGCAACGTGGAGACACGCCATCGAGTAAGCGTCGCGCCAGACGGGGAGAACAGAGTGCCAAGGACCGGAGTGAAGCTGCTCCCAGGCCATATCACGCGCCGCCTCCGCCGCGCTTTGGTCGCCGGCGACTGCTAGCGCCGCCATGCGAGCATAGGCGTAACCGCCTTGAGCGGAGATTGACTGCAACAGGGATTGAGACTCCGCGTCGAGTGTTGGGGTCGGGAGATGGAGGAGGCTGTGGTTTCCGGAGGAAGCGGCGGTGGTGGGAGCTCCTGACATGGTCTCTGGATCGGGTCGGGTCGGGTTAAGTGTTGGTGAGATATTTTAGTTGTGTGAGTTGGGGAGAAAAGTGAGCTAAAAAGTGGAAAAGGGAAAGGAGAAGATATTTTGAGTGATGATTAGGATGTCAAAGATATTTTTGTATTTATCACTCTCCTCTTTACAAATATTTTGAGGAGAAACCCTTAAAATCGTATTATTTATGTAATCATCCCTATACGTTTTTCTATTTACATTCTAATTGCTTTATCAAAAATGCACTTTACACATAAAAACAAACAAAAATTGTCAACTCATATAAACCCTTTCTCTTTTCCATTTATATTTTTGTATTTATCACTCTCCTCTTGTAAAAAAAATCGAGGACAAACCCTAAAAATCGTATAAATTATGCAATCACCCTAGTACTTTTTCTGTATTTACATTCCAAAATATTTAATTTTATCAAAAATGCACCTTACACATAAAAACGAAATTGTCCTTTTAAGCTTCTTATTTTATTAGTTTGACAATGATTTTTTTCATTAAATATATTAGTTGACTAAAAGTTTATTAATGTTTCTAAACTCAAAAATCTGAGTTTTGATTCTTGAACCTTTATTTTTAAAAAAATAAGAAATATTTTTCTTACAAAATATTCATTGTGAAATAGATAAAACAGTAGAACATTTTATGCTTGTGTGAATGAAAAAATGATATACATAAATCATCATAAAACATAAAAAATGGTTATAAAATTATTAATTTAACTTATGATATAATAACAAATCAGTATTAAAAACTAATTTGTCATTCCTAAGGTATCTATATAACTATAGTGTGCTTAGACACACATATTTGGCTAGTGTTTGTGTTTCAGTGTTACATAAATGATTATATATAAGCTCACGTTAAGTTTTTTTTTAACCCAACACATATTTGAAAGATTATAAATTTAATTTTAAGGTGTTAATCACTTAACCTTGCTAAATATTTTGTGTGTTGCGTTTATTTTTGTACATTATATCTTCGTGGTGATACATGGATTTTGATTTTTTGTCTAGGTGATACATTAATTAAATCATAAATCTCGGTTATGCTTTTTAAAAGTTCATAAGGTCGGTCCAATGAATTAAATATCCGACAAATGCTCTAGAACTTTCCACCGTTGATAAGGAAATAGCAGTTGATGAAATGTCGTCTTCGTATTGGCCGAATCGCATGTGACGTGCACTAACTGGCACGTCACTTTTGTCGAGACAAGAACTCTATGCCTTTTTCATTTAGCTAAGCCGACGTGGTGTTATAGTCAGCACGACATCTGTAACATTTTTGTGATTTTGGAACTTTCAAAAATATATTGCCTAGCGCAGAAGAACAAAACAATTCCGAAGATATTTATGAGTCGACGTGGCGTTATTCAATGCTTTTATGATATGTTCCATAGATATTTTCTCTAGCTACCTTTTGGCACTGGACTACAAGATACTTGCAAATATACGCGCACATTCAAGACAAGTCGAAAGTATCTATGCAAAGACTAAACGAGCCAAGTTTCAAAAAGGAAAAATAAAAAGCTAAACGAGCCATCATTCATTTTGTTTAAACATGTAATCGAAACCATTGCATGTTGAAGGCAGAGGCCACTCAAGCATGAACTCAACAGTTTCAAAAAGACTAAGGAATCTCTCGCTACTTTAAAACCATTTTGAACATTTCTAAAGAAGATACTCAATAATTTTAAATACAAAGTTTTTTGTTCACCAAAAATGAATTTCAAAACTTCGAATTTGGAGTTTCATATTTTTATTTTCATTTTAATTCTTTAGTATTTTTGTCGTTAATGTTTTAATTTTTAAACTTTTTACTCATAAATATTTCAAATATTACTTTTATAAATTTAATTTTTACACATAAAGCAAAAAAGATAAAAATAAAAAATACAATATTTTAAAACTAGATTTAGACAATAACAATATTACAAAAGAAATTTAAGAAATATACTGTCATATATATGGAAGTATTGCAGAAATAGTTTCATAGAATAATGTGGTATTTTATTTGTAACTTAATATTAAAGTATATAGTTCTATGTAAAATTTTATATTATAGTGTAACATTTTATTAATTAACATTGGTGTAATATTTTTATAAATGTGCTAATTAGTTATAAAGCTTTATGGATGTAAATTAATTATGGAAATATAATTACTATTGAATTTAAGTTTGAAGTTTTACATTTTGAGAAGAACATTTTGAGATTTTACATATGAAATTTTACATATTTTAAAATAAAATGTATTTTTTGAAATGCTCTTAGAAATTGAATCACGATCGAAAGTATCTTATGAAAGACTAATTAGCTATCTACAATGTTTTAAAAATATATGTAACAAAACAATTGTAGAAAACAGGTTTTTTTGGTTGGGGGGGGGGGAGGCAAAAATGTTACATTGATTTACCAGTTTTTGACAGAAGTACATTAATGACAAAGAAACAGAAATGCAGAAATTCAACTACCAATAACGATAACGGAGGAAAAAAAACTTAGCTAACACAATATCAATGAAAATCCAATACGCAGCAGCGCCTTGACTGAAAGAAGAGGCTAGCAAAGAGAACCAATTACCGCCGTTGACTGGAAGAAAGCTTCAGCTGAATACGAGTTTAGTAGATTCTGGAGCATTCTAAAAGTCGACTCTTTATTGAACTAAACAAAATTTTTAAAAAGAGAAGCTGATTACGTCAATGAAGAGAATGAAAAATTTCTGTTGAACTAGGTGTTGACAAATGGGTTTGTGCGTCGTCTATATATCACCAGTTCAATACTACACTCAAACATTATAAGAAAAAAACGATTAGACAAAATGATCAATTTAGCAGCATATAAGACTCACAAAAGCATGGTTATAAGTTGACAGTTTTACCAACATTTGATAACTACCTGACCTTAACTCTCTCTCTCTATATATATATATATATATATATATATATATATATATATATATATAAAATCAAACCATGATAAAATCACAATTGAATAATTTTCTTTTACTATTGTACTAGGTAAAGATCCGCTTTTGCGCAGAGTGAAAGTATAAATATGATTTTCTTACCGTAGTTCAAAGAAAAAAAAATCATTATATATTACATATGTGTATATATATATATTAGTATTATAATGATCACAATATATAAACAAAAAAGTGTTTAAAAACTTATATTTGTAACAACCTGAATAATTACCCCAAAAATTCAACACATATAGCCCAACATTAGAGTCAGTTGAGGGTTTCCATGTTGAAGTATGTGTATTTGCTAAACGCTTTATGTTTCGAGATTATATGAAAAATAAACCTTGCAACGTTTGTTTAAATAGTAGCTAGACTTAATACTTAATAGGGATTCTAATCTATAATTAATAACTAGATTTTGACCCGCGCTTGAAAAGCGAGGAAATTTTTTATGATTAAAAATTTATATAATTGGGTTTTGTCCTAATTTAAAGAATGTTTTGGTATAAAATTAGTTTACCAAAATTTGTGGTGATAGTTGTTTTTCATTAGTTTTTAGTTTCAGTTTTTATTTTTAGGTTTTTTTTTTAAATTTTGGTTTTTGGTTTTTAGTTTTTAAGTTTCTATTTTTGATTTTCAGCTTTTGGTTTGAGTTTTTAATTTTTAGATCCGCTGAGTTAGTTTGAACTGATATTACCAACAAACAAATCTCAATTAATCGAATATGTAATTTAAAACTGAAAAGATGACAAAATAATTTTCTAAAAATTTTGAAATAGTTTATTTTGTAAATAAAAAAAGCAAAAAATATAACCTGCGTTTTCAGCTTTTGGTTTTGGATTTTAGTTTTTAGATTTGGTTTTTGGTTTTGCTTTACATTTTTTAATAAAAATAAAACAATAATTATTTTAAGTTACCATTAAAATTTATCAAGATAGATTGATTGTTATTTAAAATAAAAAATATTAACATGTTTTAAAGTACATGATTTAAATAAGTGATTATTAATAGATAATTTTGTTTTGTTGAAAATATTAAATATTTTTGGGCTAAAAAATATTAACATATTTTAAAGCACATGATTTAAATAAATGATTAATGATAGATAATTTTTTTTGTTGAAAATATTAAGTATTTTTGGGCCTAAAAATAGTAATTGATTTCTGATCCATTAAGGTGGAAAATTTATTTAATGTTTTTTGGAGTTTTTCTTTAATACTAAACCCAAAAACCAAACAATTAAATGTCATAAGTACAAAAGTAAGCCCAAAACTCTATTTCATAAATAACCGCTGGTTTACTTTAAGTAATGTAGTTAAATCAACTATATAACTTGTATTATTTGTAACACTCTAGAAAGGGTCCAAATTTAAATGACAACTTGTATCAGTAGATAAAAAGAATGACTCTATTTTAATAGAATATATAAGATTTAGGTAGTAAATGTAAGATATGAGGAGAATATTGAGTACATTGTTTATTATGAAGTAAGGTGGGTGGGTGCATAAATACACGACATTCTTGTAAGAACTGCTTAATGTTATTTATAGTCCTATAATATATAATCACCTAGTAAATGTTGGTCTATTAAAAAAAAGTTGAAGAAATATATGGTGATGACACCTCATCAGTAATAATAAAATTGTGAATATAATACTCAACAAACGTTACTCCTGTTGTAAGTAAAGAAGAGAAGAGGAGAATTGGTGTATCTTATTCATGTATAAAGAGATCCTTTATATATGATTACAATAGTTTGGACACCAAGTAAAACTTAGAGTGGGGAACAAATAAATCTACTACTTTCCGTATTGGACATCAAATAATATTCACAAGACTTCTCTTTGATGTCCAGTATACCAAAGTGCTTTAAAAACGCTGTAGATGCTACTTCGTTAAAACCCCACCAAGAAAACCTAATGGGAAAAACCATTGTTAAGGAAAAAGAGTGCAGCGAATAATGACTACATATGTCGAGATCTTTGAGACAATGCTTCTTGACAATAG